CGGGCCGCACCTCACACCCGCTGAGCCCCGGGTGGGCCCGAGGGTCTGCTGGCCATCCGGCCCCGCCGCCCGGGTCCCCTCTGCCCCTCCCGGACCTGCCTGTTGACGCGCTGGGGCCAGCGGAGAGTTGCCTTGAAACTTAAACAATCAAGTTTTTTAGAAGTGAAACCACATTGTTACATTAAGGCTTTTCATCATCTAGATTACTTATGTCTTTCTGTTTGTATTAAAAACATTGGATACATGTGGGCAACCTGCAGGCCTCCGGCTGCGTGTTCAGCAGACGTGGGATCGTGGAACACGCTCCGAGTCCACGGCGGGGGACGTGGTCCGTGGCTCAGAGCTGCAAACGCTCGTTGGTTGCTGTGGGGCGCCGCGCCCCGGAGCGGCCCGGGAGCCGTGCGGTCCGGCGGGGCCGCGAGGCGCTGCTCAGGGACCGGCCCAGACACGGCCGGCCCACCGCACTCGGGGCTCCTCCCGCGAGTCACCCCGACTTCCTGAGCCTCTCGCTGCCGTGGAGGGTCCGTGGGACGCGTGTGGCCCGCCTTCCCGCCGGGAGTGAACCCCAGTCAGCCCCCGCCCCCGCCCCCACCCAGGCGTCCGCGGCCAGTCCGCGGACTGGGGGCGTCTGAACTTCAGTCGCGTCTCGAGGACGCTCCGTGAGCGCCTCCAGGCCGAGAATGTTTACACGGGTGAGAACTCCAGCCGGCGGGGGTGGGGGGGGCGCGTCGCAGACCTTTCGGAACCGCCTCCTCGTGGCGAGTGTCTGAGTCGTCGGCGGAGGAAGGTGCTAACTCACTGGGCCCTTCCCTCCGGCAGCCTGTCTGTGTGTCTGTCCTGCCCCGGTGGGCGGGGCTCCTGGGTCTGGGGACTCGGAGGGACCCCGGGAGTGCAGAAATGAGCGCAAGTCAGGGACACAGGTTGTCCTGGTGCCCGAGCGACTGTGAGGAGCGTTACTCCTGGACCCCTGCGGCGGTTTGTGGCGGTCCCGAGGGGTTCGTCCCCCTTGTCCGCTGTGGGGCGTTCTTCTGGAATGATCCCTGGGGGCATCCGCACCTTCGCCATTTGGGACTGCCCTTCCTGTCGGCCAGGATGTGCCCAGGACATGCAGACCAGGCCCCCGGGAAACACACGGCACCCGGCCCTGGCTCCTTCGCTGCCCCCCTCCGCCGCAGCCCGGGGCGCGTCCCCTCGGTGCACACGGGACAGCAGACCGGAGAAGTGGCGCCGTGGTGGCCGTATGTCGTGTGCAGATCCAGCCGCCTGTTCCCTGCTCGCACGTGGACTTGGGGGAGGACGCCGGTTTTCCGTCCGGGCGACGTGACTCTGTCCCCACGGGCCTGCCTTCCAGGCGGGCGTCGGGCTGGGCAGTGGGCAGCTGCCAGGCTGAGTCCCACACAGAGGCGCCCGCGGGTGCAGGGCCACGAGGCAGGCTCCCCTGGGGCTGTGCCGTGGGGCTGTCCCGTGGGGCTATGCCCGCGAGGCAGGCTCCCATGGGGAGCGGTCCTGGCGCGGGGGCCCTTTCATCGAGGGCTTCTGGGCGGAGCTCGCTGCCCGACGGGCGTGGAGACGGGAGGCCAGGCTCAGCCCTGTCCCCCACCCGGGGCCTGGGCGGGCGGGTCTCCTGGACAGCGGACCCGGCTTCTGGAAGGGCCCCCTTCGGGCTCTGGTCACACCGCGGCCTGTCAGGTCTGCGGTGGGGAGCAGTGGAGGGCGCGGGTGTCACCCTTGGGTGGCGCGTCCATGGGTTGAACTTCGGTTCTGGCCCCGCTGGGAACATCACGGGCTGGTCTGAGCGGGGTCTGTGCCTGCAGGCAGAGGTGGGGGGTGCCCGTGACCTCTGAGTTCTCGCCGGCCCCTCCAGGCGAACCCTCAGCACGCAGAGGCCACCGGTCCGCCTGCAGCTCCCCAGATGCCTGGAACCTTCCTGAGGGGTTTGGGTGTGGAAGACCCTCCTTTGGCCCAGGGACTGGGGGGCAGGGAGCCCGCGTGAGGCTGTGGCTGGGGAGTCCCTCCTGGGAAGTGCTGGCCGGCTGAGGTACAGGGAGCCCTGACTCCTCCTCCTAGTGGGGGGCAGTGGTGGGCGGGGGGGCTCTTCCAGGGTCCCCTCTGAGTGCTCCCCCCACCGGCTCCGTGCAGCCCTGCGGGGCGCTCTCAGGTGGGACCTGCAGCTCCGGGAGCCCAGCCCTGCGGCCTCCCCCCCCAACCTCTGGCCTCCGCTGCTGTCCTCCCCGTCCCCACGGTCTGCGCGGCCGCCTCCAGCCCGCCGCCGCTGCACCTCCTCTTCTCTGGCCGCAGCCTCCGCAGTCCCCGGACCGTCCCACGCCCGGGGTCAGGGCTCCCCGCGGCTGCGGCTCCCTCGTCGCGGCCGGCCGGCCCTCCCTTGGGGCGGGTCTCCTCGGGTGGAGGGGCGGCTGAGCTGCGGGCTCTCGCTCGCCTGGGCCTCTCCGGCCGCCTCCTCCCTGCACGGACACACGTGTGCTGTGGCCGCCCGGCCTCGGGCGTCTGCGGCGAGTGGCCGCCGCTGCAGGGACCCGCGGCGCTGCCCGCCAGTGTCACCTGGGCCCAGGGTCACCCGCCGATGGCTGCCCGTCCCGCCCCCCCTCTTCTGCCCAGGGACTCCCCTACTTCCCCGGGGTCAGCGGAGTGCCGCCAGCGTGTCTGCCACCACACCGTCCCCACGACCTCTCCGCGCACCCAAGGCTGCGCTTTTCAGACGTCCTGCTCGGGGGGGCTCTCCCCGCACCTCCTCGCTCTGCACGGAGGCCCCGCCGCCCGCTGCCGCGCCCTCGCCTGGGCCCTCAGAGGCTGCCCTGAGCCGTGTGCACACGCACCCCCCCCCAGCGCTCACCGAGCTCACCGCCACCTTCTCCCCCAGCGGCAGCTCCCTCGACGCCCTCTTCCCTGGGCCCCACCTCAGTGCAGGTGTGGGGCGGGTCTTGTGTCCCGTCGGCCGCAGCCTGAGGACTCAGCCTTAATCCTGCCTGTGGCCGGCGGGGCCGCGCCCTGCGTGACTGGCTCGTCGGACACTGTTACTTGGACGGCTCCTGGCGGTGTGTGTGTGTGCCCGCAGACGTCCTCCTCGGGGGCCTGGGGTGGCTCGCCCTGATGCCTGTAGGTGATCCGTGGTGAGCGTGGGCAGGACCGCCGTCACGTGCCTTTGCCCTCGCTGGGCGGGAGACCCCCTGCCCTGGTCCGGGCGGATGGCCAGGTCCTGGCTGCGGCTGCCACCCTGCTTGGCGTCCGGCAGCGGGGTGGGGGGGGTGGCGTTCGGACTCTGGACCCGCAGCAGCTGCACGCGGTGGCCCGTGGGACGCTGTTGGCCGGTTCCAGAGCCCTTCTGACCGGGACTCAGGAGGGCTGGAAACCGTGGCAGCCCCTCGCCTCACCCACCGGGGCACAGCTTCACCTCGAGGTCCGAGGTCAGACCCCTTCCTGGGGAGGAGGGCGGTCTCTTAGCGGGGCTCCCCGGGCTTGCAGGGGCAAGGCCCACCAGGTGAGGGCCGAGCCCAGATGTGCTTGGGGTGGGAGAGGGCCCCCATCCTCCATGCGGGCTGGGGGCGAGGTCTGGGGGCCTTGGCGCTGGGAGTGGGCGACGGAGCAGGGAGGACAGGGCGCCGCGTCCAGCCGGTGCCGAGAGCCGCGTCCCAGCGCGGACGCCTGTGCGCCCTCCCGCCCGCCCCGGAGGCCGTGCGGCGCCTGCCTTCTCGGGAGAGCCGGCTTTCGCTGGAAGCCGGGCCTCTGGGCCTGGCTGGTTCGTGTTTCGCCTGCGGGCCTGGGAAGGGGCGTGGTGTGCAGCCTCCGGCAGAGGGGGCGCGAGTCCGCCGGGCGAGCCAGCCGGTCTGGGTGCTCTCCCCGCCCCTCCCTCGGCGGCTGCGCCTTTGGCAGCACCCTCCCCACCGCATGCGCCCCGAGCCCACCTCCCTCGGCAGAGCGGCCTCGAGTCCAGTTCCCCCTGTCACCCTGGGCTCTGTGGCTCGGGGAAGCGCCTGGGTTCACCCTTGCTGGGGGCGGGGAGCGTCCTGCACACCTCACCCCCCCACCACCCCAGTGCCCACACGGATGGCACGCCACCTTCAGGTGGGGCCCGAGCTCAGACACTCCGTGCCTCCCCACCTGCCCCCGCCCCTCAGGCCGGCCTCCCTCCCGTCCGGATGGCAGCGGCCCCCCCAGAGCCGTCCGACCTGCGGGCACACGCCCAGTGGGCGTCCGCGGCCGCCTGCGGCCTGCCAGTCACAGGGCAGCAGCAGCCTTTGTTGTTCCAGAGTGTCTGTCACTCCAGAACCCCCTCTGCAGCCTCCAGCCTCCAGCCCCAGCTGCAGTGCGGGGCCTCGCCCCCGGCGCCCCCCGAGCCTGCCCCTCCGTCCTCCAGCCTCGCCCTCCTCCCGACGCCCTCCTCCCGCACCTGGCGGCGGCAGGCCCGGTGGGCTGCCATCCCGGTGGGCTGCTGCCTGGGGAGCTGCTTGAGCTCCCCAGGGCCAGGGTCCGCCCCGGAGAGTGGAGGCCGTGGCACAGGAAGCCCGGCACCAGGGCGGAGGCACTGAGCGGCTGCGACATGTGCAGGGCAGGGCCGGCCCCGGCCCCGCTGCCTGGTGGCCAGCAGCCCCGAGACGGACCGCTGGCTGGCCGGCCGCCTGCTGCCCGGCCCTGTGTGCGCCCCAGCCCGCTGCCCTCGGCCCGCAGACTGGGGTGTGGGGGCGGGCTCTCCCCGAGGCCGTCCCGGAGACTGGGATGTCCAGCGCGCTGGGGCTGGCCCTCTCCCAGCGCACCGGTGGACGGGGACTTCCGCTCTGTCCCGGGCGGCCGGCTCGCCCACTGGCTGGGCGGGGTTTAGTCAGGAAGTGGGAGCCTGACTCACGGAGGCGCCCGGGTCTCCGGGAGGGACACCTGCAGGCAGCAGGGCCCTCCACGGAGACCCGGCCCGTCCTGCGGGCGGAGGTGCTGTTCCCGACCCTTGTCCAGCGGCCGACTAACGCATGTCTCTCTCTCTTTTCTTCCAGTCCGCCACGGTGTCCGACGGCGGTAAGTGCCGGCCCCCGCGTCTGTCTCTGTTACTCGTGACGGGCTTTTCGGGTCGGGCAGGTGGGCGTGCCATCGACGCCCTCCACACGGGGGGTGGCTGTCCCGTGCGTGGGGAGGGGCTGGTTCGGTCGGGGCTGATTTCGGGGGGCTGCCCCTTGCCCCCAGGTGGCACGGCGTGTTTCGGAGCCGCTCACAGCTGAGACATGTCACGAACCTGAATTTCAGCATGACGGGCGCCACGCCGGCACATCCTGCCACACGCCCGGGCCCGGCGAGTCCCAGCCTGCCCCCCTGCGGGCGGCCCAGCCCGCCGGGCCAGGGGAGGCCGAGTCAGAGCCCTGGCGGAACCTGAGCCGCCCGGAGACTCGGGGGGCGCTCTCGGCTGCTCAGGCCCCCTCTCTCAGGAGGAGTGTGGTCCATGGATCGCTACGGAGTCGGGGCGGGGGGCGATCAGAACTCTGTCTCTGAATGGTTGGCGCATGGGGGCCCTGGGAGTGGGGCTGGCCCGCAGCGGGTGGGCCGGGTCGTCTTACTTCGCCGCCGGCAGTTCCTCGGAGGTGGGTCATTCCAGTCCAGTGGCGTCGTTAAGCTCCGAGACGACTGGGCGAGTTTCTTCCAGATAGTCCTCGTTTCTTATACTGACTCATAAAAGCCCTTATGCTTGTAGGTTTTGGTCACATGGTTTGAATCGATCTGTTCTCCTGTCTTTTGGGAGCTGAACTTGACAGTTTACCAAAGGTGCCAGCCTTCTCTTCCCTTCTGTGTGCCGGCCCCGGGCCTGAGGGGGGCAGCCGTCCCGGGAGGGGCGTGGCGCTGCCCGCTGCGGGCATGGCCAGCCCTGGGCGGGGCGAGAGGTGCTCCCCCGGGCTCTGGGCGAGCTCACACCTGCAGACGGACGGGCCGGAGAGGTCCGGGGGCTGGTGTGGGGGGGCCTCCTTGTGTGGTGGAAGGAGCTGTGCCACCTGTCCTAGGTCCCGTGAGAGCCGTGTCGTTTAATCCCACCCAAGCTGGGAGTGGGAACAGCTCCCTCGGAGGAAGCCGGACCGCCCCATTCCAGGATGAAAGCGGCGGCTTTACGAGAGCCGGCTCACGCTGCCCCTCCCCACCGTTCCCAGGGCTGTCCGCCTCCTTTCTGCGGGGACCGCAGCAGTTTGAGAAGTCCGTTTGACGCATTCCTTTGAGCCAGAGACGTCCGGCCCCGTTCGTCTCTGAAGTTCTCCTCAGAGTGTCGGCAGTGGACGGGAGGCCCTGGGGAGCTCTGCTGCAGGCCGTTCCGTGCTTGTCTGCGAGCTGCCTCACAGGCCTGGGGTCCTCCCCGAGGAGGTGGGGTCCCGGCCGGTGCCCTCGGTGGGGGCTTTCCACCCCTCCGGTCCCGCCTGCTCTCCCCGCGTCCAGCCGGGAGCCCCTTGGCGGTGGCGGTGCCGGGTGTGGGTGTGGGTGGGGGGGGGGGGGGGGCCCCTGCGGCATGAGTGTTTCCGCCCTCAGCGACCTCCCTGGTTGTGAGTGAGGAGTGCGGCGCCCGCACGCGACTTGCGTGTTAGTCCTGGGACGCCTGGAGGGCCCTCCGCCATCTTCTCCGGCGCCGACACGGAGGCCGAGGGGCTGGCTGCGCGGGGCTGGGGAGGCCCGAGGGGGGCTGCTGAGCACAGAGCAGCGGAGCGGCCCCCGCCGGCTGCTAGGGCTCGTGCGCTCTCGCCTCCCACCCTGGCGACCCTGAGAACCCCTCCAGTTCCTGACCCTGCTCCCTGGGGACATCTCGGGGGGACAGAGGAGACCCCATCCAGGCCACCCTCCCCCACAGGGGACAGCAGTGTGTCCAGAGGGTCCGGGCAGGGGCAGGACGGCCAGGCTCCCGTGGGCTGGGGCGGCGCCGCGGCTCCCTGCGGGGGCTCGGGCCCCGGGCAGCGTGGGGTGGGCTCGCCTTCCAGCCTCGCTCCCGTGATGAGTGAGCCGTTCCCCCCCAGGGGGCACTCTGTGTGCGACATTCCCTGTCCGTGGGCGTCCTGGGCCTGCCCCCCATTACCTGCTGCCCCATGCATGGTGCTGCGGCCGCACTTGCCGGGCATCGCCCCGTGTCTCCTCTCTCCCGGAAGGGGACAGCCGCCCTCGAGGGGGGGGGTGTGGTCCGTCCCCGAGGGGGGCCAGCCAGGCTGTGCTGAGGCCCAGGGGGGCAGGTCCAGCCTCAAGGAAAGGAAGAACATTCCAGCATTAGAGAGAGGCCTGGAAACGCACGGACCTGCCTCATGGGGAGAGACTCAGAGGTGTGGGCGCGGACCCCCGCACTGCAGCCACGACATGGGAGGTGGCGGCCGGGTGGGCAGGAGGCAGGCGGGACCCTGCCCTGTGGGTGGGACCGAGCCCCCAGGCCCCTCGGCCTGCGGGTCTGTGCCTTGCTGCTTTATTGCAACAGAATTGGTCTTGTGTTATTTCGTTTTCGTCCCTCACTCAGCACTGAGCAGCTTTGCCAGCACTCCCCTCCCGCCAGCTCACACAGCCTCAAAGGTCGCGTGCTGTCTGCCGTTTCTGGATCTGACTTCTGAAGCGGGGACTCGGGGTGTCCGACGCCCACGCCCACTGGCACCTGCCAGGCTGTGGGTGTGGGGCCGTCGGCCCCGGCTCCTGGCTCTGGGGGGGCACCACCATGCGGCACCTCCCCTCGTGCCGGTCCCAGAGTCTCCCAGGGGCGCATCCCTGTCCTCGACTGTGGTCGGGACCTTTCCCTAGCCCGGCCCCCCCCCAGGCCGCAGCGTCTCCCCACCCCCTCCACCGAACTGAACCCTGCCGCTGCGCCTGCTGCTCCCTGGCCCGGCCCCTGGCCCGGCCCCGCTCCCTGACTGCTCCCAGCGGCCACGGGGCTGCGTCAGCACGTCCTTCCGCCCCGCTGGGCACTGCCACCCCACACCGGTCCCCCAGGACCCCTTAGGCACACGGGCCGTCCGGCTGCCTCGCTCAGCCTTGTCCTGCCACCGGCGCGCTGCCCCCTGGCCTGTGGCAGCCCCTCAGATAAGCCCGTGCTGACCGCCGGCCCTCGCACTGAGGGTCACCCTGGCTTCACTTCCTTCCGACGGCGCCACGAGGCCCGCTGTTTAAACCCTTTTCTGCGCCGTGGGTTTTGTTTGCTCCCCTGCTCCCTGGAAGGGGCACCCGCAGGGCGGCTCGGGCCTGTCCTCGTCACCCCGCACAGCACACGGCACAGAGGCATCGGCGAATGAACGGCTGCGTTGCGGCATTTGAGGGTGCGCCGACCTCGGCCGGAGCGCGGGACGGAGACCCGGGCGGGGCAAAGGGCTTCTTCCTTGGAGAGACGCTCCTGGCAGCGGAGCGGGCAGCCTGCCGCGCGCAGCGGCTGAGACGCAGAGGCAGCCGCGTCTGGCCGGCGGGCGCTCCTCTGCTCGGGCGTGGCCGGCCTCTCCCGGGCGGCGTCCGGCGTCCGGGCAGCGGGGCCTGCGCTCTGTCTCCCCACAGTGCTCACTACGCACCTCCTCTTAGCCGAGACACCCCACTTTGAAGCAGGCTGTGACTGCGTGCCATGAACTAACGAGCACTGGTCTCTGGTACTTCTGATAGTTGTTTAACATGGACACTTGGGCCTTTTTGAAACCAGAACGTCTGAGACAGGAGCTGAGCCTTTAATTCTTGTTTCTGAACGGAGGTGGGCTTTGATTGTAAAGGCGTGCCCCCCCCCCCGCTTTCGGCCAGCCCCTCCTCTCTTGGGGTGCAGCTGGAACCGGGAGGCAGGCCGCCACGTGCAGTGAGGCTCCTGGCCGGGTGGTGGCCGAGGAGCCCTGACCCGCCAGAGCCCGTGCGGCCGCGCCGGCTTTCGTCCTCGGGGGACACCTACCCTGGCTCCGTGCACTCGGGGCCGCGCCTGCTCCCACCCAGTCCCGGGAGCACAGAAGCGGGGAGACTCGCCCCTCGTGACCGGTCGCAGAGAGCCTGTGCCAGCATGTCAGGCTGCCCCGTGCGGCCTCAGGGGGACGGTTTGAGTTTGGGGCTCCCCTGCTCTGCGCACGGGGCTGCCCGAGGGGTGGGCACTTGGCCGCCCGCGCAGGGCGGAGGGCCCGGCGGGAGGCTGGACGGGTGGGGGCACTTGCCCTCCCACGGAGCGCGAGGGGGGCCCAGCACGGCCCCCGCCGCTCTCAGGCGGCCAGAGCGGGTCCGGACCTCGATGGCGTCGTTTGTAAAGGGGCTGGTGGGCCCGGTCACTGGTCTCCAGGCTCCGTTCTGAGGGGCGCTGTGGGGCCTCATCACCGGGAGGGCCTGGGGCTGCGCTGGCTGAGGGTCCGTCCCGTCTGTTCATGTCCGAGCCCAGTGTGGCCACCCCAGGACGGCCACCCTCGCCCTGGGGGTGCACTGTGAGGGGCCGCAGAGGCTCGGGCACCCGTGTGCCTGGGCTTTCTCGTTAGGGGACAGGGTGACACTTGTAGGGACTGCGGCAGGAAGGAGAGGCTTCGAAAGAGACCTGACCGGGCCGGTGACCCTGAGATCGGTCCCGGACGGGGGAGGGCAGCTGGGAAGGACATGGCCGAGGTGGCCGGGGCTCGGGCCCTGCTGTGTCCCGAGTCCACAGCCGAGTCCACAGCCGCGCCGTGGTGGCCAAAGACACGTCCGTGCTCCTCGGGAGCCGCGGGCCGCAGCGTCTCCGAGGGGGTTCCAGGCCTTCGGAGAACGTCACGTGCGTGAGTGTGTGAGGATGAGTGTGAGAGCATGATTGAGTGTGCGTGCGCGTGAGTGTGCTTGCATTAGGAGGAGGACTGGGGAGAGGGAGGGAGGAGGAGGAGGAGAGAGACCGGCGCGGTCAGCCGCAGCGCGCAGGCCGCCGGCGGCTCTGGCTGGGGGGGTGGGGCGCCCTGAGTTGCTCCCAGCCTCTTCCTGCGGGTTGAAACGCCCCCTGGTGGCAAGTTGCCCTGAACGGGGAGCAGGGCGGCGCTCTGGTGCATGGGGGGGGCGCTGTCCCAGCTTGGGACGCCCCGACCGCCCCCAGTGTGTTGGGCCGCGCC